CTTAAAATTCCATAATCTAGGAATGTGTCTCTTGTGTTTGGGGTTTATGTTTTTTTGCACTTTCCTATTTGGTTTCTACTAGTTTTTAATGGTTTGTTTTTAAAATATAAGGCTGCCTCAGCTATGCTTAAGAAAAATAATAAATTATTTGTCCACCTGTGGAGCAGATTTTAAGAGGGAAATACTCAAACCCCTGGTTTGGGGCATGATCAGGCCCCAAAAATGAGTGAGGGCAGAGGAAGAAAACCTCAGGAAGAAAGTTCAGGAGCCACCTACAGAGTTAGTATTTCTAACTTAGCGATCATCTTCCAGAACTGTTCTCAAACCTGGGAGGGTTTTGTGTAATTATAGCACATTTCCTGGCAAGATATCAGGGTTGAGAGACAGAGGTGATGTAGGTGAAAAAGAAGTTCACACAGTTGGTGTTTTCTTAGTTTTGTTTGGTTATCATTGCCTGGCTGTGCTGCCTCCTTTTCGTTTGCTTCCTTCCTTGAAGAGTCACTTTACCTCCAACCCCCTAGAGCCCAAATCAGCTCCAGGCGCTCTACAGCGGAGGTGAAGGGCAATCAGCCTGATGTTTAATACCCAATGAAACTTTTTCTGTTGTACATAAAAGGGAAAAAAGGAAAAGCCAATAGAATGTTCCACAAGTTTAAAAATATTTAGAATTACACCCACTCACAGATTTTGAAAAAGCACAGCAACAGAATTATGCTAGTTCAAAAGCATAAGAGCACAGTCTGACTAAAACTGATTAATCTAATTTCACTTTGCAAAGTGACTAGATGGAAAAAGGAGATAGAAATTAGCAATATAAGTCAGAAACCCTAAGTTAATATGTATAACAGCTGTTAGTTTATATTAATAAAAGACAGTTTTAACTGATGAACAAAAACAGATCCAGAGACAGAGAAGCATCGATCAGACCGTCAAACCTCAGAGGGAAGGTAGGGGAGGGTGAGGGTAAGGGGGAGAGATCAACCAAAGGACTTATATGCAAGCATATAGGCCTAACTAATGGACACAGACAAAAGGGGGGTGAGGCATTAGTGGGGGGATAAGGGGCAATGTGGGGATACGGACACATATGTAATAACTTAATCAATAAAAAAATAAATAAATAAAGGACAGTTTTAACCTAAAGGTCCCTTTAAGTTTACAAGAGTTAGAGATAATTTTTATAAATTTTAAAATCAATTTTATTGAAGTTTAATTTTGATATAATAAACTTTGCCCATTTAAAGCATAAGTTCAATGTGGGTTTTTTTTGTTTTACTTTTATTTTTAAATATATTTTATTGATTTTTTACAGAGAGGAAGGGAGAGGGATAGAGAGTTAGAAACATCGATGAGCGAGAAACATCAATCAGCTGCCTCCTGCACGTCCCCCACTGGGGATGTGCCCGCAGCCAAGCTACATGCCCTTGACCGGAATTGAACCTGGGACCCTTGAGTCTGCAGGCCAACACTCTATCCACTGAGCCAAACCGGTTAGGGCAGTTCAATGTGTTTTGACAAATATATACACCTACCATAACCACTACGACAATTAAGATATACATTTTCATCCCCTAAAGTTCTCTTATGCCCCTTTGTAGTTACCTTCTCTTTCTACTTCCAGTCCCAGGCAACAATTGATCTGCTTGCTGCCTGTCACTCTAGGGCAGTGGTTCTCAACCTTGGCTGCACATTAGAATTACCTGGGAATCTTTTTAAAATCCTGATTTCTGGGCCTCATCATCTGGAAATTCTGTTTCTTTGTTACTAATGTTGTAGCCCCACCCCATAACAAAGAAACAGAATTTCCGGAGGATGAGGCCCAGAAATCAGGATTTTAAAAAGATTCCCAGGTGATTCTAATGTGCAGCCAAGGTTGAGAAACACTGCTCTAGAGGAACCTGCATTTTTTTCTCATACAATTTTTTTTATTGAGATATCATTCACATACCATTTAATTCAGTCACTCAAAACATATAATTCAGTAGTTGTAAGTATATTCCCAAAGTTGTGCAACTACCGCCATTGTCTAATTCCAGAACATTTTCATTACCTACAAATGGAACTCATATCCACTGGCAGTCACTCCTCATCCCATCCTGTCACAAGGCCCTGGCACCAGTAATCTACTTTGTCTCTATGAATTTGCCTATTCTGGACATTTCATATAAATTGAATTGTACAATATGTGCCTATCTTCATTCACACAGCATGTTTTCCAGGTTCATTCCTTTTACAGAATATATAAGTACTTCAGTCCTTTTTATGGCTGAATACTATTCCATTGTAAAGAAATACTATATTTTGTTTATCCATTCATCAGCTGATAGACATTTGGGTTGTTCCCACTTTTGGTTAATGCTGCTATAAATATGCATGTACAAGATTTTGTGTGGACAATTTTTTTTCAATTTTCTTAGGTATATACCTTGGAGTAAAATTGCTGGGTTGAATGGTAACTCTGTTTAGCTTTTTAAAAAGCTGCCAAACTGTCTTCATTTTTTAATTAAACTTATTATTTTGAGACACTTATAGATTAACATGCAGTTTTAAGAAATAATACAGTGAGATCCCATCTCATGTATCCTTTACCCAGCTCCCCCACAATTATAACATCTTGCAAAATTATAGTGCAACATTACAACCAGGACATTATGGATATTGATAGTCAAGATATAGAACATTTCCAACACTACAAGGAGCCCTCATGTTGATCTTTTATAGCCACATCTGCCCTAGCCCTGACAATCATCAATCTGTTCTCCATATCTATAACTTTGTCATTTTAATGATGTTATAATGGTGTATGAATGAATCATATAGTATGTAACCTTTTGTGACTGGCTTTTTCACTCAGCGTAATTCTCTGGAAAACTCGCCCAGGGTATTTTATTTATCAACTAGAGGCCCAGTGGACAAAATTGTACACAAATAGGGTCCCTAGGCCTAGCGTGCAATCAGGGCCATGTCTGACGCTCCGCGACATCCTGTGACACTTGCCACCCCACGAAGCTCCGCGATACTTGCCTCCGCCACCCCGCAACGCTCCGCGACACTTTCTGCTGCTGTCCCGGGCGCTCCCCACCACTGCCCTGCGATGCTCGATGCTCCCTGCCCCGCAACTACTCCACAACGCTCCATGACACTTGCCACCACCTCCCCACAACACTCTGCGAAGCTCCCCACCCCAGGATGCTCCACAATGCTCACCACTGCCACCCTGCGATGCTCACCGCTGCTAGATGCTCACCGCCACTCAATAGTCCTGCCCCACCGCCACACACACCCCCTTCGCGGGGGTTCCCCAATTGCCATGCTGCGATCTGAGCCTGCGAGATGGGGGGGAGGGACCAAGAGGTGGTCAATGCACCTCATGGCAACTGGTCATCTGGTCGTTACTCTTATGGTCCTGGCCTTTTATTATATAGGATAGTAGGATCCTTTTTAAAATTTCTTAATTGCTGAATAGCATTTCTAAGAACATTATATAAATGCACATTCAATGTGCACTCAATTGAGTCTGGCTTCTTACATTCAGCATAATGTTGTTGAAATTCATCCTTTTTTTTTTTAATGAATCAGTATTTTGTTCATTTTTATTGCTAGTAAGTTTCCGCTTTACGGTTGTACCACAATTTATCAATTCACCTGTTGATAGTTTGGGGTCATTAAAAATAAAGCTCCCCTATGAAGCTTCATGTACAAATGTGAATCTATGTTTCCATTTCTCTTAGGTAAAGACCTAGGAAGAGAATTGCTAGACTCATATGGGAAATATGTTTAACTTTTTTTCTTTTCTTTTTTTTAATTTAAATTCTTTATTGTTTAAAGTCTCTCACCCCCCACCCCCCATTGACCTCTCCCCAGCCATTCCCACCCCCCAGAACATGCCCTCAACCCACTATGTCTGTGTCCATTGGTTATACTCATATGCATGCATACAAGTCCTTTGGTTAATCTCTTACCCCTTCCCCTCCCCTGCCTTCCTTCTTAGGTTGGACAGTCTGTTCGATGCTTCTATGACTCTGGCTCTATTTTTGTTCATCTGTTTATATTATTCATTATATTCCACAAATGAGCGGGATCATGTGATATTTATCTTTCTCTGACTGGCTTATTTCACTTAGCATAATGCTCTCCAGGTCCATCCATGCTGTTGCAAATGGTAAGAATTCCTTCTTTTTTACTGAAATGTAGTATTTCATTGTGTAGATGTACTACCATGTTTTAATCCACTCATCTGCTGATGGGCACTTAGGCTGTTTCCAAAACTTAGCTATTGTAAACTGTGCTGCCATGAACATAGAGGTGCAGATATCCTTTCTGACTGGTGTTTCTGATTTCTTGGGATATATTCCTGGAAGTGGGATTACTGGGTCAAACGGGAGTTCCATCTTTAATTTTTTGAGGAAACTCCATACTGTTTTCCACAGTGGCTGAACCTCAACAGTACTTGTTGTTTGTTGATATGTTGATGATAGCCATTCTGACAGGTGTGAGATGGTACCTCATTGTCATTTTGATTTGCATCTCTTGGATGATTAGTGACTACGAGCATGTTTTCAATATGTCTCTTGGCATTCTGTATGTCCTCTTTTGAAAAGTACTTATTTAGTTCCTTTGCCAATTTTTTGATTGGATTGTTTATCTTCCTTTTTTTAAGTTGTATGAGTTCCCTGTAAATGTTGGAGATTAAACCCTGTCGGTGATAACATTGGTAAGTATGTTCTCCCATGCAGTGGGCTTTCTTGTTTTGTTGATGGCTTCTTTTGTTGTGCAGAAGCTTTTTATTTTGATGTAGTCCCATTTATTTTCTCCTTAGTTTCCATTGTCCTAGGAGCTGTATCAGTAAAGATACTGCTACAACATATGTCTAATATTTTGCTGCCTATGGATTCTTCCAAGATTTTTATGATTTCCCATCTTACATTTAGTAAGTCCTTTATCCATTTTGAGTTTACTTTTGTGTATGGTATAAGTTGGTGGTCTAGTTTCTTTCTTTCTTTTTTTTTTTTTTAATGGGGGAGGGAAGGGGGGCCTGGACGCCTCCCTCTGCGTGTGGTCCGTGTGCAGGGCAGGGAGTGGGGGCGAGTGAGGGGAGGCGAAGCTACAGGGGCCACAGGAGTGGGGGTCACACTGCTGGAAGGAGCTCTGACCGGGCAGGAGGCCAGGCGGTCCAGCCGGGGAGGGGCTGCCGAGCTCTGTGGCCAGTGCGGGTTCAGGGCAGTGCCGGCCGCGTGGCCTCGGGAAGGAGCGGGCAGGCCGGCCGCTCCACGCCCCGTCAGGATGGCACTTTGACGCCGAAGTGCTTGCGAAGCTGCTCCAGGAAGACGAACGTGAGCACGGTGTGCGGCATGAGGCGGATGCCGGCAGGCACGAGGCCCTTGTAGAAGGCCAGCGGCCCGAGCTTCGCTGTCTCCATGGTGCAGTGCAGCACGCCCTGGTACTCGCCCTTGGAATTCATCAGGCGGTCTTCAGCACGTCCAGGGGCTGGCACAGGACCGTGGCACACCCACCGGCGATGAAACTGGTGATGAAGTGTGTGAAGATGCCATCTGACAGGTACCCCGTGCCCAGGACCAGCTGCTTGTCCGGATCGTAGCAGGACAGCTGGCCCACAGTGACCAGCATCCCCCGACTGGAGGCCACGGTTGCACCCGAGAACAACTTCCTCAGACCCTCTTCACGGGCCACGCGGTACAGGCCGTCCAGGGCGTGGGCGTAGTTCCGGCGCTGGCTCCGGGGCAGCTTCACGTCGTTCTGCATCCTGACGTTGACCCTGTCGGCGGGAGTCCCCATGAAGCCTCCGACGCAACCGCTGACGGCGCCCAGCAGCACCTTCTTGTAGAAGGGCAGGGGCCCCTCGCTGCCCTTGGCCACTCGGTCCCGCACGGTCTCGTAGATAGCGAACCGAGTCAGGGAGTAGGTCATCTGTCGGCACAGCGAGGCGCTCAGGCCGTTGTAGAGCGCCAGCACTCCGTGGGAGCGCACCACCTGCAGCGCCATGCCCGGCATGCGCATCCTCACCTCCTGCTGCGTCTGCAGGTGCACCTTGAGCAGGTCCAGCGGGTGCGTGCAGCAGGCGGCCCCGGACGAGGCCAGGCCCCCGAACTACCAGCGCGACACGCGCGCCTCGGCCGCCATGCCCGCCGCAGCGCCGGTGGCCCGACCCGACCCCGCCCGGACCCCGAGCCCGGCCCGACCGGCCGCGCCGCCTTCAAAGCGCGTCCACCGCCCGCGCCTAGTTTCGATTTTTTGCATGTGTATGTCCAATTTCCCCAACACCATTTACTGAATATGTTTAATTTTTTAAGAAATAACAAATTGTTTTTCAAAATGATTATACTGTTTTACATTCAACCAGCCGTGTATGAATTCCCATTGCTCCATATTTTTGCCAACACTAGGTATTGTCAGTCTTATTTTTGTTGTATTGTCAGTCTTTTTAATTTTAATTATTCTAGTGGATATGTTGTAATTTTAATTTCCCTAATGTCCAATGATTTTGGAGCATCTTTTCATATGCTTTTTGGCCACTGTATATTTTTTTTGAAGTGTCTGATCAAGTCTTTTCCTATTTTTTAGTTTTAAGAGTTTTTTAAGTATTATAGATACAACCCCTTTGTCAGATACATGTGAATATTTTTCCCCACTCTATGACTTGTCTTTTTATTTTCAGCAATGTACAAAGAGGAAACGATGTGTTTAAACTTCATAAAGTCCAATTTAATAATTTTTCTTTTATAGTTCATGCTCTTTGTGTCCTTTAGATTTTGCATTTAGGTCTGTGAACCATTTCAAGGTAATTTTTATGTATGGTATGAAGTAAGGATTAATGAATTTTTGTTTTGTTTGTTTGTTTTTGGAGTTTGGGGGGACATAGGCAGCCAGTTCTTTCAGCATGGTTTGTTAAAAAGGTTTCCTTTCCTGATGTATCAACTTTTATTTAAAGAAAGAAAAGAAAAAAACACTACTTCTAAATACTCAAAACCACTGCTATTCCCACCTTAGAGGCCTGAACAGCAAGGTCTGTACCTTCCCTCCTTAGAGAGCATAGGCCTGAACAGCAAGCTCCAATGGTTCAGAGAAGCAGCAGCCTAACTTCTAGACAACAAGTAAATGTCTTTTTCTGAAGCTATTACATGAATTCACACAGAAAGGAAAGAAGAGAATAAGCTCCCACATTTTACCAAGATGTTGTGAGGTGTATCTATATTAATCTCACACATTCTGTATGATTTCAACCAATATCAACAAAAGCAACTAACATTATGGCCTTTAGCAACACAGAGGGGTAACCTTGGAGGTACAAAGAGCAGTACTTTGAAAATCAGGACATGGGTAGTCCAAGCTATGTGATCTTAGGTAAGTCACTTAACATTCCTAGTCCCCAGTTTGTTCATCTGAAAAATGAAGGTTTTGCATCAGGTCATTTCGTACGATCCCTTTCCAATTAAACATTCCAGAATGCCAAGAAGAAGCCTATTCTTTCTTCCAAAAGTCAAGAAAAAAATTACCCCCAAAAGATGTCAAAATTGCGAACATTTGTCACATGGTGAATACTGTACTAAGAGCAAGTTTCCTTTTTTCTGTTTCCTATTTTATCCAATGTTTCCATAGTAATTAGACATATAATCTTTCCAACCATTGTAGTTCTGATTTTTATCATTTTGAACAGTGCTCACTATACTCAGGAAATACATCAATATATCATCTTCATTTCACCTGTACACCTCAACAACAAAAAAGTCAATAAAATATCTGTTGGAACAATACTTCTCAGCTTTAATATGTACCTGAGGATCTTGTTGAAGTGAAGATTCTGATTGCACGCCTAAGGTGGAGCCTGAGACAGTGCTCCCAAGTGATACAGATGCTGCTGGTCCTTGAAACACACTATGAGTAAGTAGCAAGGTGGTAGAATACTGAGGTCAGAGTATCTGTTTGGAGAGCCTAATTAATATTAATACTTCAAGTTTCCAATACTCTATACAGCCAAATATTTTATAAATTAGCTTTATGGCACTGATTTGAGGAATATAACCTCATTGATTCTCGAGAGAGCACACTAAATATAACAGCTTAGAAAGTCAAGGTCAATTTAGCTCTTTTGTTGTTAATATTTTTTGCATTGATTTTTAGAGCGAGTAGGAGGAGGGGAGAAAGAAGGGAAGAGGGGTTAGGGGGACAAAAAGAGAAATAGCAATGTGAGAGAGACACATCAATTGGTAGCCTCCCACTCATGCCCTGACCAGGGCCGGGGAATGAAAGGAACCTGCAATCCAGGTATGTGACCTTGACCAGGAATCAAACCAATGGCGCTCAGGCTGATGTTCTACCACTGAGCAACACCAGTCAGGTTGTTTATAAAGCAAAGATGAGGCAATATGAGTTATGGCTTTCTGATAAAGAGTAGATGGGTTGTTATAAAGATTTTCAACCTATCCTCAGGTCAAAGAACAAAATATATTACAGAAATTTACTTTCAAATAATTTTAAAAAATTTATACTAACATCACTATTTTATGCCTAAGAGATCTCAAATTATTCTAATCCATCAGAAACAAACAAAAAAAATAACTTGGTGTGTTTTTACTTTATAAAAACATCTGAAAGGTTCAGCAAATTGAGAGTAAGTTAGTGTGCATAGGAAGGATCTACAGCTCTGCCAAGAACATGGCCTAATACAAACACTGCAAAGATAAATTTCAATAAATCTTACAAAATAGAAACAAAGGGAAAAAATGAAAAAGGGATTTATACAAACTAGACTGTTAGAAGGAACAGCTTAATGGGATGAAGTGCCTCTTTATCACGCATTGTTTGGTCAGTGGAGTGCTTTGACTGCAGAGGTTCCAAACTAACAGTTCTAGCTCCTAATCCAAAATACTATGTTTTCAGCCATTTTCTCTCTCTTTTATCCATACCTACAACACACACACAGACACGCACACACACACGCACACATGTGTGCGTGCTCTTTCTCCTATTTAATATGGGTTTCATTTGAATACAACAGAAATAAATGTTTATGACAGAAAATCATAAAGATGCAGCAAAACTCAAACAAAGAAAAAAATTCCCTAGAAACCCCACTTACCCAGAGGTGGCTGTTAATATTCTAGTGTACAGTATATCCTTACAGTCATTATTTTAGGATTATATAGATAAATGGTAAACATTTTCCTACATCTTTAAATAATATTAGTATCCAAGTATCTGAATGTACCACAAGTTACTTAATCTCCTTGTTAAAATTTAGGTTGTTTCTATGTTTGTTTTTATTATTTATAAATAATAATGCATATATACACACATACATACAAACACATATGTACATATATATAAAATCTTATATACTTTTTATAATTTCCTTGGAACAAATTCCCAGAAGTATTTCATGGTTACATATATATTTTTAATTGTTATGAGTTGCCAAATATCAAGAGAGTTGTGGCAAATTATAAGAATATCCCGGAAAAAATTTTTTTAAAGCGCAACTATCTGCATCTAATTGTATTCAAAATCCTAAAAACAAAACAAAAGAAAAACACCAAAAAACACCACCACCACAACAACAAAAACACCATAAAGCACTTACTATGTGCCAGGAACTGTTACAAACATTTTACATGTATTAACTCACTGAACAACTTCCTGAGTTGGCATTACTACTATTACTACTACTACTACTACTACTACTATTATTATTATTATTACTGTTTTACAGATGAAATAACAGGTACAGAGAGGTTAAGTAATTTACCCAAGGTCACAAAGCTAATTAATGGCAGAGCTAAGAAACCTGGAGTCCAAAGTCCATGCTCTTAAACACTATCCCTACTCTTCTCAAACTTTTTAATGTCAGGAATCCTTTACCCTCTTATAGTTACTGAGAACTTCAAAAAGCTAAGGTATGCCCTGACCCGTTTGGCTCAGTGGATAGAGCGTCAGCCTGCGGACTGGAGGGTTCCCGGTTCGATTCCGGTCAAGGGCATATACCTTGGTTGCGGGCATATACCCAGTAGGGAGTGTGCAGGAGGCAGCTGATCAATGTTTCTCTCCCACCGATGTTTCTAACTCTCTGTCCCTCTCCCTTCCTCTCTGTAAAAATCAATAAAATATATTAAAAATATATATATTACAAAAAGCTAAAGTATAACACACTTGTTTATGTGGGTTATACATGTCAATGTTTTTCATGTAAGAAATTAAAAATAAAAATGAAAAACATTGAAAAGATTTACTCTTCTTTTAAAACTAGCAATAAACCCACTTCATGTTACATATTTTTATGAAAAATACTATTATTTTCCAAAATGAAAAGACAACAGGGAAAAGAGTGCCACTGTTTTATCATTTTTGCTAATCTCTTTTGTGTATAATTTACTAAAAGACAGCTATATTTTCACATGATACTGCATTCCATTTGCTGGGATATGGAACATCATGTACCTCTAGAAAAATACATTGTATACACTCATAAGAGAACTGGAAAAAAGACAAATAAAATTTTATTATAAATATATGAAGTTTTAATCTTGCACCCACTGAAAAGGGCACCCAGAGGGGTCCCCAGACCACACTTTGAGAACCACTACATTAGCTAGTGCAATGCATGTGATACAATGTTGAACTGCATGGTCTCAGGAACATACTTGCCTAAAACATATTCCACATTTTTTGGTAAATAATTTATTCAAGAATTACTATTAAGCACATATTATGTGCCAGGTACCCTTACAGGCACTGGAAACAGCAGAAAATGAGAGAGAAACCCCCTACTTCAATGTATTTATATTCTAGTCGGAAGAGAGCAGTAATCAATAAACAAACAAATAAATAAATCACATATTCTGTCAGATAACTAGCATGAAGAAAAATAAAAGCAGGATTTTAAAAAATAGGGTGGGTCAGGGAAGGCCTGAGAAAGTGACATTTGAACAAAGATCTGAAGAAGGTGAGGGAGCAAGCCATGAGGCTACCAGCAAAAAGTGCTCCAAGTAAAAGAAACAGCAAGTACACAGCCCTGAAACAGAAGCATTCCCTAAGGGGCACAGGGGACAGCAAAGAGGCCACTAGGCTGGGGTAGAATAAACAAGGAAGAGGAGGAGATGCAGGCAGAATTATAGGAGTAGGGGCAGTTCTACATGATCTGGGGGGAATTGAGCTTTTTCTGTGAATGAGAACCACTGGCAGGTTCTGAGTGAGAAGGGATATGATCTGACTTTCATTTTAAATGAACATATGTCAGCAGTGGCTGCCATGAGATGAAGGATGCCCAAGACCCCTGACACCGTGAGCTCAGCCTGAAACTGCCCTTTAGTTTGTTGAGAGCAACACAGAGAAAACTGGTTTTTGTTGTTGATGGCAGAGTGGGGGTTTTTAGTATTTTTCCCTTGTTATTATACAGAAAATCCTTTAAAAAATAATGCATGTGGTAATCATAAAAATGAAGCTCAAAAAACAAACAAAAAAACCCCCACAAGACTAGGAGACTCATCTTTATTTAATTTGGCACTGTTCTAATAAAGCTAAAACTGTGGTTCATGGTCTTGACAGCTTGCCTTATCCAAAAGGAAACAAGAAGGAGGAAAAAAAGATAGAGACAGACAGATGAATTCAGATTCCTTTGATCTGGGTCCTAACTATTAAGGGGATCCCAGATAAATCAATGAGTCAGAGAAAGGGGAATAAGATGTAATCCAGAACACTGATGACAACAGCTGTCTGTCTGCCTACCTGTCTTCTGAGATCATCATCAAGGTATGAGATCATCACCCAGGCCAGAGAATGCAGTGCAAGATGGAAGTCCACCATAGAACTATGGGGCCTGTAGCATCTGACTCCAGTTCTTAGGGGCAGGAAGTGGACACCCAGGTACTGTTTGTATGTTTTTTTAATATGTTTTTATTGATTTCAGAGATGGGGGGGGAGGGGAGAGGGGAGAGGGGAGAGGGGAAAGGGGAGAGGGGAGAGGGGGAGGGAGAGGGAGAGAAATATCAATGATAAGCGAGAATGACTGATCAGCCACCTCCTGCACACCCACACTGGGGATGTGCCCCGACTGAGAACCGAACCATGACCTCCTAGTCCATGGGTCAATGCTCAACCAAAACGGGGGGAGGGGGGATTAACCAAAGAACTTATATGCATATATGTATAACCTATGGACACAGACAATAGTGTGGTGAAGGTCTGGGGAAGGGGGTCAGGGTAGAGGTGGTCAATAGGAAAAAAGGGGGACATATGTAATTCTTTCAACAATAAAGATAAAAAAATGTTTTAAAAGCAAACAAAACTGTTTCTAAGGGATAAATCAAAGAGGGCACTTAGAGATTTCAGTGTATATTGTACTCTCTTTCTTAGGTTGTACTCTCTTTCTTAGGTTGTTGGACTCTATTCTTTCACATTTACAGGGTGTTCCATAATCATAATAAACTTAAAAGAAAACTCAATTGATTTGTGGGACAAAAATGCTCTCCTATTCCAACCCCATGAGGTAGTCACTGTTTCTAGCTTCTTAGGGTCCTTGCAGAGATATCCTATACATAGATAAGCATAGGGTTGGAGGGTAGGGTGTGGGTAGTGTGTGTATCTGGGTGCAGTGCATGAGAGTAGTTGGATGTGTGCATATATGTGCACAAAAGAGACAGAAAAAACAAAATGACTCCCTGCCTGCGCCTCATCAAGATCAGGTGTATGTCAGGGACCAAAGCATACCTAGGGAACTGCTTCAGTACTTTTCTCTACAAGGCAACTCTGTCTCACTACTAGAGTTATCCTATATAATAAAAGGCTAATATGCAAATTGACCGAATGGTGGACCAACCAGTCGCTATGACACACACTGATCACCAGGGGGCAGATGCTCAATGCAGGAGCTGCCCCCTGGTGGTCAGTGCGCTCCCACAGGGGGAGCGCCGCTAAGCCAGAAGCCGGGCTCACAGCTGGCAGGCACAGCAGCAGTGGCGGGAGCCTCTCCCACCTCTGAGGCAGTGCTAAGGAGCAGCAAGCGGCTTCTGGCTGAGCAGTGCTCCCACAGGGGGAGTGTCACTTAGCCAGAAGCTGGGCTCAGGGCTGGTGAGCACAGCGGCGGTGGCAGGAGCCTCTCTCACCTAAACAACAGCGCTA